GGAAAAATTAAAGTGAATTATCATTTTAAAACAAGCATTACTCCTCCATTAAAATTAAGCCGAATTAATATAGATATAAAACAAATAATCGAAAACAACATTCTGGGCCGCAACTCAAAAAATGACCATGCATTTGAGATTTTGAGTAGCACTTCGCTATCACTATAGCGTCTGACTGATGCGTGACGTAACTACGGGACGTAATTTAGGAATGTTACACTAATCTAATGCTGGCAAAATCTTAAAGCTGGCCCGTTTTAGCATTCCATATTATCATTATTTTAACTAGGTAATATTTCATGTAATTGTAACTTTTCATTGCTGAAATATACTCGTGAACGTGAGTTCAAAAAAGTTATCGTCATATGATATTATCATTTACCGAATCATTATCATTTATTCTCCTTTTCTGCACTTTTTGTATTATTTTTGTTAAAAATATTATTAATAATACTGTTCCAACTATTATTGTTCCAAATTTTATTATTTCGTCGTTCATTCGCGAATTCGTTTTTTCTCGTCGTTTGTAAAGTGTTTAATTTGTCTCTATCTTTTCTTGATCACGTGCTTAAGGACAGACAGTAATAGCTAGTGCTAGATGTTTACTTAACGTTAACACTAAATGAAATAAGATTTTTGAGTTATTGATAATAAATACACTTGGCAGCCATATGCAGTATTTATTTTGTTTTTAGGTAATATACTAATATTAATTTGATTCGGACAATCTATAAATAATACAGAATTAGATAAACTTTCAATTACAGAATTATAAATTGTTTTCCAAGTTTTATGATGATTGAAATTTATCAAAGAGAATATATTAGTAAATCGCGATTTTAATGCCTACACAATGTTTTGAAGAGTGATCACATCATATCATTTATGAGTTTAAAAGCCATATTTTTTATCTTTTTGATATAATGTCTGAAAATATGATAGTAAGATGCCTTCAAACATGTTGCCAGAAATTTGATTTTCGTTTATTCGAGGATTCGTTTTCCTATTTTTTCTTGATCAAGTGCTTAGGGACAGACAGTAATAGCTAAAACAAAATAAATATGCGGTATTTATTTTATTTTTAGGTAATATACTAATATTAATTTGATTCAGGTTGTGCTTCACTAATAGTTATAATACTACCTGAAGAAATTTTCTTTATTTTTATTTCTACGAATTCAATCGCAATAAATTAAAAATTTAATTTTACTTTTCACCACTCGATATATCGATATAGTTGGGTTATTCTATCACATTTTGATCTTTGAAAAATGTACCAGAAGCGAGTAAAATTTCTTTAAAAATTTATCGTTATTGGTCATTAACTATAAAAATTTATTAGTTACTATTTGTAACTAATAAATTTGTATAATAAATAACCAACAAAATTCTAAAGGATTTTACTCTCCAACGTTACTTGCTTCTGGTACATTTTAATCAGATTTAAGAGGTAGTTCGGCTCTGAAGGGTATAAAAAATAGTAAATTTTATAGTAAAAAACGGCGGGACTTAATATAGTTTTTTCTACTTAATGCAGGAATGGGGCTCGCTTACATGCAAAAGTATTTTATTACGAAGTAAACCTTTCTTGAGCTTCTAAGGAAAATTGTAGAGACGATTATTCTCGTTCTAATGGTGGTAAAATCATCACAAACTGTCCAGTAGATTCCGAGATATTTGTATTTTTTGCTGGGATATTCAATTGGGTAATTATTTATAATTATCTTAAAATTTTATGATTAATATTAAAGCAAAATTCTATTGATTATAGGTCAGATATTTCTTCGATATACAATTTTGTACTCGAATTCATTTTGCAGAACCTTATAGTTTTTGGTAAATAATGATGATTGTTTTAAGTTGTGGTGGATATCAATTGAAAAAAGTTTTATTATTTTTTAATGATGAATTGGTTTTTCAAACTTTGAAATTTCAATAACTATTGTTCGTTTGTAACTGATTTTCTTAAATAAAGTGCATATACGTTGATTAAAGTGTTCTTATCCTATTTTTCACATCGAGAGGTGAATAAAAAAAAAGGTGATTTAATACATATTGTAAAACTTTATAAGTTCACATATATTGTCATGTTATTAACCAAAATAAAAAATGTTTAAATTAAGAAAATTAACATTAATTATGTTAAAGGTTACTGTGTAGTTATCATTATTTTAAATATTTACGGTATTCATTTCTTTTAAAATCTAACTATTAGATGTGTTTAATACCTGCTACTTTTATAATTAAAAATATTATTTATGAGTTTAAAAGCTTCATTTTTATCTTTTATGACATTATTATGCCCAAATAAGTAGTAAGATGCCATCAAACATGTCACCAGAAATTTGATTTCACTATCTTGACTAAAAGTAAGTATTGAAAAAATCTTAAATACTTCTTCATATTTTTTTTTACTGTAAAACTCTAATGCAATTTTAAAACCAAGATCATCTTTTCTGACATGTCCCAGTATATAGTAATCTGCAATATTACTCAAAGCCTTCAATTTTACCTCATCGTCTTTAGCTAGTTCTGAATAAATCCTCCAAGCATCTTCATATCTTTTTTTATCATGAAGATATTTTGCTATGGATAAGGGATTAGTTTTTTCATTTTGTTTAACACCGAACTCATGTATATTACAAAGTGCAAGATAAAGCATAGCCTGACCAAAGATTTTAACTTGGGATTCTTCATTAGAGTTTGCATAGGTATAGTTAGTAAGTTCTTTAAAAGTTAAATAGGAACTCCTGGCATTTGCTTCATCTTTTTTATTGTAACATTCAATAGCAGATCTAAGATTAAACTCATTCAAACTGATCCCACTCATCTTTATTTGGTGAAATTTTATAAGTTGACTAACTGAAAATAAGAAATTGTTAGTATTTATATTTTTGGAAAACGAAAAAAAAAGCCATTAACAAATTGAGAAAGAATGGTAAAAAAAGTAAAGAAAAAAAAATGTTATATGGCAATTGAATTTGTGAATCAATTGTAAAAATACCATACAATAATATAATAATATATTTTTTTAACCATCAAAGTTACAAAGCATTGCAATTGAAAATGATAAAAGTAACTGAACTAATTAAGTGAATTTAATTACAAAATCTTTAATTATTGTCTTCAATAGAGTAATTTTAGAAAATATCTGAAAATTAGTATAACTAAATTATGAAGAGAAAGCTTTATTCCTTTGAAATGATTAATTATGATAAGTTTTAAATGATAAATTGATTGAAAAAATTGATTTTGTCTTCGTATTGAAATATATATTTTTTTATATTTAAAAATCATTCTTAGCCCTATTGAGTAATTTCAGAAAATATCTGATAATTACGACGAACTCTATAAACAAGCAGTTAAAGCTTATAGAAATTATGAATATATAACTCATTTCCTAACTGTTGCTAATAGCAAATGTAGAATTGCAGATGATGCAAAATTTTATTTAGCTAAACAACATGAAATGAGATTAATACAATACAACTTTTGATCTCTATGAGCAAGTTAGCAATAGTCAGTCAAAATTCAAATATGAATCCAAAAATTGGTTAGCACAGTATTATGATCTTTTGAGCTTTATTTAGATATTTACATTAGAAGACCTGACAAGTTTCAAGGAACTAATTTATTGTTAGCATTAAAAATAATAGAGGTGTTTTTACAGATAAAAAAAAGAATTTCAATTTTATTTAGATCTTTACAAAAATGTTAGAGGATACAAAGATTTCACCAGAACTAAACTAATAGAATATTATAAATATGGGAGTGTTAGTAAAGATGAAGAGAAAGCTTTAAAACTCATAAAATAACCCTTAAATAAATGAATGTATTCCTTTGAAATGATCAATTATGATAAAGGTTACTGTGTATTTCATTTCTCAATAATCCGAGTGAATTATGTAGTTACAGTATCAATAATTTAAATATACTTCCTTTAAAATCAAATCTTATTTTTTCTGATTTATGTGTTAACATAGTAAAAATACTATTTAAAATCTTATTTAATTTTAAAATGCGTTACCTATTTATTAATTTTGAAACCCCATAAGGTGTTTGATATATAATTAAAAATATTCTCAAGAATATTTTTTTATATCTTATATGTTATTTGTTAGTTTTTTCTACTATTACGTTTGTAATAGTCTTGGAACTATATGTGAGAAAAGCACTAGTAAATTCTTTGCACGTGAACACAAGCTTAACCTTATTTTGATTAAATGAATTAATATTAAGGTAGGATTTTTTGTCTGATTGGCTGATGTAAATCAATTGTTTGGGTAACTTAAAGTACTTTTTGAATTAAAAATTGTTACATAATTTTAAAAGAATGCTAGAAAGCTAACTCTTTTATAATCAAATTCAGAGAAGTTAGCTTAGACACGGCATTCTGAAAAAAGTAAAGAAAAAAAGTTTCATCTAAATTTTGACACGCACCAAAACAAAAATAACTACTAACAAAATAGTGTCTATTTTTTTAAAGATTAAGATTTTGAGTAGGTGTTTCAGACAAGACAAGCTTATTGACATGAGAGATTTGGGTTTATATTTAAGACATTCTTTAAAATTAGTTTAGTTTGTTAAAGCATTTGGGTTTATTAATTATAAATATATGAATTTGGGTATAATTTCTAAATTAAGAAAAAAAAAATTATATAAGATTGAAGATTTATAAAACTATAATTAATATCAAACCTTACATACTAACTAGCTTTTTTTTATTATTGATAGTTTATTTAGAGCATCTTTGTTACCAGCATTAGCAGCCAATTCTAAATGTTTTAAAGCAAGTTTTTTATTTTCATCACATCCAATCCCATTTTCGTAGCAGCACCCTAAGTAATAATTGACTTTCGAATAAATATCATAAAACTTGCTTTTTGAAAGTTTATGAAAAATATACCACGTGTCTCTTAGCCTTTGATCATGTTTGTTGTTGTATTTATTCCTGAAAGTATTCTCAGCAGCATCAAAAAGTTTTTTTCAATCATATAAACTCATTCTTCAATACGTTGAAAGTCTGCGGCTTTCTTAAGAGCACTAATATTTTGATTTGTAATATAATTGTCTTCTAGATCACATAGTTTAGCATAAATATCTGTAATTTCTGCAAAGGCTATTAGTTTTGCATACTGATAGAAAATATCTATTAAACAGACGAATTTGGACTTACTTTTATACTGTATGCAAATAGTCAAATTTAAATTAATTGTGTTAAATTAAATTAATTTATTTTGTAATAATTGAATACTTAAATTAAATACAGTATTTAAAAAAAAAATTGTGTCCCATTACTGATTCAAGTTACATTGAATGTTAATTGTTAATTCTATTTATTGAATTTTAACTTGACAAATGTATTATCGCCTCGAGGCGTTATTTTGATACTATAATTTTATCACCATACTATGATCAATAGAGGATTGTTAATAGGTTGAGTTGACTTAATTTTAGCCTACTACTTTAAAATAAGCTTCAATAGAATAATCGTAGTGATAAATAAAATAATATTATTCACAAGAATATATCTATTAGTGTTTTCATGTCTCAAAATAACGTGAGGCTGTTATTTCATGATAATACGGTATAAAATAAATAATAATACTGTAATCAAACT